GTAATTTCATTTTACAGTAGTTTGGAACGATATCAGGAGTGGGGGTGGTGGCAGTGGCCTACAATTTATTTGAAGCTATCTTGGGTCCGATCGTCCACACCAGTTGGGCCCAATCGTCTGTCACCCGAAGCTTTCATTTCGATTATCAAGAACGTACACGGTCTAGCCCCTGGGCTAGGCTTAGCTTGCTGTAGTCACTCTGCTACGTATACTACTACCGCATAACAAAGAAAGCGACCAACGTGGTGCATTCTTAAATATTACACACATTATTTAATTGTATTAGACGACAACACGATAACATGATATCATTGATTGAACGATCTAACTACCCTCGCATCGCAGTAATACACTAAGCCTAGCTTAGGCCTCATGTTTTTGTGGAAAGCTAGATAGTCGTTATGTACCCGACAGTCGGCTGCCTTTATATTTTCACCTGTTTTCAGTTTGCATTCAAAAGGTACATTGCTGCACAGCCAACTGTCGGGGATATAGTACCTTCATATGACTACTCATACGTATACAACAGAAAAAAACATCGCATGGACTTAGTGAAAAATGGAGATCTAAATGAAAAAACGATGTATTTCAGCAAGTATTAAAACATTTTAGTTTTATTTTAGGCCTTCTTCAAAATACCTATGCCTCCAGCAGTTGAATTTTTTTGTCGTAAAACCAAAATAGTTTCATCCATGCCGACTTTCCGGTCGGTTAGCGTGAGTCCTGACTGAACTCTGCAGAAACTTCACATCGCGATGTAAAACAAAATGTCGGAAAACTTTTCTTTGACGCATGTGCATTTGCATAAATGTCTACACACACACACACTACACACAATAAAAAAACAAAAGAAATGTGACTAAGAGTGATTACAATAGTTCCTATTGCATTACATGCATAGGAACTAAAAACAAAAGAAATGTGACAGAGTGATTACAATATAGTTCCTATTGCATTACATGCATAGGTACTAATAAAGGAAACACAATGGATGTTAAAGCCCCATTCCTGGCAAAATTTCACTAAAAACTGATTCTTTTTAGAAAATATGCATTTGCATTACTCCAATTATTACAAATCATGGAAAAATATTGGCATGAATTTTAGGTTTACGCAAAAGAATAAAAAAAATGAGAAATACAGACTATTTCTCAAAAAATATTACAATTTTCTCGACGAATTCATCGTTACTAGGCAAATTCAGAGGTTGTAGATCGCATCCACTGGAATACTCTCGCTTTTATGTATACTTTATACAGTCAATAAAGTGCGCCCTCTCTAATGAGATTAGTTTTTGTACTTCGCATCTCGCACAATGCGGTCGTTCGATTAAGGCTGAGATATGTTTAAGTGTCAAAATCTCAGTCAGAATCAGTTTTTTAACAAATTTGAAATAATTCCTATGAAATATTATATTTCACAAGTGTCATTACTAGCAATGGAAAATATCATGTTGGCCGTTTTTATATGTGATAACAGAACTTAAATCGAGGTAAGGCTAGGCCTAGCAGCGTTGGATAGGCTAATGTTTTCGGCGCCTACGATATTTCTTTTTATGACCTATCGCAAAGTCAAACATGAAAATTCATCCACATTTATTTTTTGTGTGGAACACAAAAAATCAAATTTCAGTCTTATTTCACATTTTTTTCATTCTTAGGAATGTCTAAATTCCGTTAAACTAGCAATTCCGTATTATATTTATAAATCTTTATAACATTATACAAAAATTATATTTTCCTTAACAACTGAAATTTTGCCGGGAATGGGACTTTAACTATATTCTGATGTTATCAACATCAGTTCGTTGAGATTTGTGAGCTGTTGATTACATCAACAAAAGCTTGCAGTAAATTAGCATCCATTAATTGTGTTTGGTTAATTAACGATTAAAACAGTTCTACAACAATAAGCCGACCCGATGAAACTATTTGAATATTGCATGAATTAATTTTACCAAACTTACCATCCTTGTCATCACCAATTCCTTGTTTTGCAATAACGTTCTCAATCTCTGCTCTAAGTCTGATTTCAGTACCAAATTTTCCGGAAGTACCGTTATCGACGAGTAAGAAATGGGTGTGGTTTGGATCTAGCTTTACACTACCACTGACATCCATGCGATAATTTGCTGGACCATAGGGCTAGATAAAAGATACACAATCTATTATTTTTCTTTTTTAAATGATTAACAACAGTAAAGAAAAGACAGTACAATAGTAATTGTATGCCTAAATTTCAAAATTCTGTCCTTTTACGTAAAACTGTGTATGAAAATATAATTAGTTATGGGGGTATTACAGGTATATGAACTATATCTATATTATTATGATCGTGAGTTCAAGACCGACACTCGTCGCATTACTTTTGTTCTTGGGCAAGACACTTTACGCACGTTTGCCTCACTTCACCCAGGAGTATAAAAAGGGGGGAGGGGTTTATGCCGTTAACCTGCTCATTTGATGGTAACCCTACAACTGTTCCAGTCAATTGATAACAGCAACTAAATTGTAGGCGATTATTCACCAAAGGAAGCTACATTAAAACCAACTGCGATATCTCCTGTGATTCACATAAACAAACGACTACCAGGCTTATTAATTTCCGGCACACCTCACCTTTCACCTTGTGAAGCCACATAAGAAAGCAAAAGAAAATGATGTTTAAAAGTTGGAATTTCTCTTAAATTTCCACTTTTATGACGCAAACAACAAATGATCTTTACAATCATAACATAATGGTGATTTTGACAGAACTACTTTAAATGTATGAACCGTGCACATGTTTTAATTTATTTTGAACTTACAATCTATATAGCAATAAATCTACAATAATTTTACAAAATTTCCAAAATAAAAAGCAAAAAACAGGTAACATTGAGTTTAAATCAAAAACATTAAATATGATGATTATTCATTACACATACATTATTTTTGTCTTTTGTTAGGTTTTCTTTTTGATGGATCACACCCCACGATGCTATTCCAATGGCGACAAAATTGTTCCTACTCATGGTTCCAGATGCTAGGGCATAATCCTGCGGCAAGGCATCACCCACATACCTCATAATGCCAGAATTAATGCCTCCGCTAATAATCCATGCTCCTGAAGAATACAATATTTGCAATTATAATAATAATATTCTTGTTCAGACTCACAAAGGTCACAGTCTCATTTTAACCTGCAGATTTTACATTACTGTGGAGGAAATGTACACTCCAGCAAATGCAGATCTCAAAGTTTTCTGCAGGGGTGGTAATTGAGGATCTAAGGCCTAAATGGGATGGAATGTTTTGGGGTGTTCCCTTTAATGTGGGTAGACTGGGTTCCAGTCCCTAATCTTTGTCTTTAAATCTATTTTGACACCAATGGCGTTCCATATTACCTATTTGCTTGGCGTTTCATAGTATACTTTTTCTTGGATTCGCATAAAAGTTTCTCGATATATACCATCGCTGGTGGCGCTCTCCAAAATTAACTAATAACTAGGAAAACCTATAATTAGAGACTTGTGGCAAGTCTATAATGTGGGGTGCAGGGATATTTCCCTAGTAGCTTCGGACTTTTAGCCATTAATTTGCTAACAGATGTACTGCCCAATCCCCAGGAGAACGACCACACTAGAAAAGTCGTCTTCTAGATTTTGTGGGTTATCCTACGTGTTCACACCGAATAAATCCAATCCAATTTGAGCTACCAATCTGTTTTCAGTTTGTTTTTAAATTACCTAAATCCACAGATATAGTAAGGCAAAGTGTGTAATTTGTTTTGTATTGTTCCCTGAAAATGACAAAAAAAAAATCTGAAAAGTAATTTTGAAATGAATTTTCTCATTATCACAGTAAAGATTGAAAAAATAACCAAATAATGATGTATTATTCTCTGAAAATGACAAAAAAAATCATAAAAAGTAATTTTGAAATGAATTTTCTCATTATCACAGTAATGACAATGCGCACGCAATAGATCCTTTTAAATTACGATCCATTCAAACGGCTACCGACAATCAGCAAACGGCGTTGTGTTGTCCACCGCTCACAGGGAGCGGAGTTGGAATCGTCGTGCAACATGGTTTTACGACAATCATACGACACAGTCAGTTCCCGGCTTTAGTAATCCAACACTAATGATAGTCTTGAAATACAGGTCTCCCTCTAATGAAAGACCCTTCCCAATTTAAGACCCCTCCAATTAAGACCACTTTTCTGTGGTCCCAAATTAACAAATGTCTTTTATTTTTATTTCTAATTAGAGACCAAAGCTGCTAAAGACCATGAAAACCCCTGTCCCAAAAGTGCCAGGTCTTTAATTGGAAGGAGACCTGTATTCAATTCCAGCACGCTGGTGTGTATTGCTTTGCTTGGGGTTAAACAATACTCCTTTGTATTCAAAATTAATTAGTGGACACTTTGGAGATAGATACAGGAACACATAAATGCTGATTTATGGAGAAACCTTGCTGGTTGTATATAAGATGACTGTTCATAATATAGGAAGTTGTGTTAAATTATTATGATGTGTTGTATATATTTAAATTTAATTTTTTTTATTGTTTTAATTATGTTGCAAAATTTCTTTTGGCAAACTGTATATATCAAATTAAAACAAAAAATTCTTATATTGAGATTTTTTTCCTGTTTTTCATAGAATTAAACATTTGGACTTCCACAGATAAAAATTTAGCTCTTCCAATCTTACATTGGTATAATTTTTCATCATTGTCAAATCTTAATTCCAATTAAATTTGCGAATACCGTAAATGCTCGATTTGGAGGCTTCATTGCAGCGCTTATTGAGAGCAGCCTTTATTCGAAAGTGGAACTTTAAAAAAAATATTGTTGTCGCACTTTCCACATTTATTCCCATGTTACCTATCCCACATAGTTCGGTAGGCCTATCATAGGTCTTAGTCACCATAAACATTTATAAAGAAATACTTGTGTCTTCATTGTGTTAATTATTCATTTTAACACTGTATCATTGTATTTAAAAGCCCGTTTCCCAAAGTGTTTCACACGGGGCAATATATACTCTCAATTAAGCGCTGCAGCGATTACTGTATTCGAGAGTGACGCTTATAAAAAAAAATCAGGTTTGGTGTGGTGCTTATTCAAGAGCAGCACTTAAATTTGAGAGCGCACTTAATCATGTGACATTGTCTATTAAAAACCAGATGAAAAACTTGTATATGTCAGGAAATGCAAGAATCAAAGGTCAGGTAGTAACTCTTCTTCAGGATGTCCTTATTATACAGGTAAATAGAGTTGTAAGTGACACTATAATATTCTTAACATATATCAGGTAACTTAACTCACGATAAATAGTATTTAATGAAGGTAACATATATATGAAAAACCTATGTCTCTATCGAGATAACATACATTTTTTCCAAATAAAACCTGTTTGTTTATCACCATTGAAGGTGTTTCTACATACCAAACCCACATGATTTATAAATTATACATCTTTAAAGTTAATTGAAATATAATCTACATTATTCACTACCTGTGCTGAGTGCTGCTTTGATTAGGCCATTCCTAAACAGTTCTCGCAGCCTGGAGTTCATGTGGAAGTTTAAGGCACCACCAGTCACAGAGATAAGAAGTTTAGGTACCCCCAGCTTCCAGTGGTCCCTTAGAAGTTCAAGAACTTTGCCAGGGTACGTCCGATGATCCAATCGTACATACTACAGTAGATATAAACATACTATTATAGATATAAATATTAACATCTACTGTGATCGTTATCATAAGAACTGATTTCATTTATAGTATTTATTATCATTATTATAAAAAAAAAAAAAACAAGTTTAGTAACAAAATGAGCAATTAGAAGTCTCTGAAGACCACATGATTTTAATAACGGAAAAAAAAAAGCAAAAACAATAATTACAATAATAATAATAATCATTGTCAATATCACTATTCAATAATATTATTAATAACTTTATTCTGTTCTTTTAATGTTTTTAAATTTTTGAAGTATTATTTTCATATTTTTTGCAATCATTTTCTTTCTGTTTATATTGTTAACACATAGGCATCGTCAGCATAAAAAAGTAAGGTCACAGAGTTTTATTTTAAACACATAAACTAGTAGTAAAATGACTTGTAGAAAGCTTAAATTGTGCATGTATTACCCCCTTGCCACCGTCTGGTGTGAAGTTGAACCGCTGGTAATATCTTGCATATTTGATGAATAATAAAGACGTTGGCGATAAAAACAATCCAAAAAATATTTGCTAAATATGATTGCTTGAGGTTATCAACATTTTTTCATGAATAAGGTCAGCCATGACTTCCTGTTTCTGGTGGTGATGTCGCAGCAGCCGTCACTGCGACACGATTGAGATCAAAACACATGATATGTAACCACTTATTTAAAGAAGCATATATATTTGAGCATTTCCAGTCAGTATTTATTACCATATTTTCCAGAGTAGGCCTATAAGCCAATATTTTTAAAGAAAATCGCAAAATTAGGTGGTCGACATATACTCCAAGTGAATGTTTACAAACAATTTGAGCCTGAAAAAAATGGCGACAATCATCGGAGCTTGATGTTGGTCCAAATGGAGTACTGCTACTACATTGTACTACCAGGCCTAACACTGCAAGTCTTACATAGGGGCTAGGCCTACTCTTAGTCTTATACCCCTTTCACACTGAACTAGTTCGCACTACGTTTTGGAGGACGGGGTAGAACGGCAACGAACGGAATATGGACATAGTATACACCGAATACAATCTTAGTATGAACGGGCAAGGGCGGGAGAGGTGGTACAGAACGTCGACTATGTTTAAAATTCGATCCCGTTCTACCCGTTCAAAATAGGACTGGGTAAGATCGTATTTTGAACAAGATTGCCGTACTGCGAACATGGAATGAACGAGTCAAAAACGAGCTGAACGCTGTGCGAAAGGGGGAAATAGGAGTTCGATCCAACACCGATGTTGTTACGTTCCACCAAGTCGGGCTAGATAGGAGTCGTATTATAGCAGATCGGGCTGTAACATGATCCAGATCCCCGTTCTGAACGTGTTAAAGACTGCCTGAGAACGCAGTGCAAACAGGCAAGACTTAGCACGAACTGGTTTGTCGTAGTGCCAACCGCCTAGAAACATCCTGAAACGGGTTGAAACTTACTGTGGGTTAAACGGGTTGAGGACGGATTGGAACTGACATATTCATAAATTCATAAATGATTTGTGCTGACTATTTATGAACGCAACGTCTTCCCGTTCTAAACGTTGTGCGAACGTTGTACAAACCGTCTATAATCGTAATGCACTTATAATAAACTGTTAAATTCTCTTTCATCCATAAAAGCCATGGGAACTGATGAGATACCGGCCAATCTCAAAATAATTGCCATTGATATCATTGTCTATCCCATAACTTATATTATAAATTTGTCAATTCTAACTTTTAACTTTTCCAAAAAATTGGAAAAAAGCTTGAACCTGTCCAGTTCACAAAGGTGGTAAAAAAACAGAATTTACAAATTACAGACCAATCTCAGTCCTCCCAGTATTATCAAAGACAATTGAAAGAGCTGTTTTTGAGCAAATTTATCCTTTTTTAAACTATAATGGCATGCTATACGAAAATCAATCTGGCTTCAGACCAGGATACTTCACAGCCACCGCATTCCTCAATACAACAGAAGACCGGCTTAATGCTCTCGATAAGGAATAATATATAGGGCTTGTAATGATTGACTTAACGAAACCATAATATTTTAATCAACAAACTTAAGTCCTTCTGTCTTCATGAAAATATTATCAACTGGTTTAGTAACTACCTTCAAAACCATATTCATATTACTAGTGTAAATGGGGTTAGCTTTCAAGAATGCTACAGCACTTGTGGAATCCCACAGGGGTCAATACTGGGACCTCTGCTCTTCCTCTTATGATAATAATGATTTCCCCACAGTTGTCTCCATGTATGCTGATGATACCACAATTTATTACATGATGAAGATATTGAACATTTAACAGACACAATTAATAATGATATGATAAACATTAAAAGATGGCTTTTATCTAATAAGCTACTGTAAGTTTGAATATATAGAAAACTGAATATATGGTATAGGAACTAGGAAAAAACTATCTAACATATCTGATGTACAAATTAATATAAAGATGGATGGAGACATAATTGTAAACATCTTGGTGTAGACATAAATAAAAATCTGTCCTGGTACTCCCAGATAGACCATGTAAATGGTAAGGCTCTGCAGAGCTTATACATTATCTGAAAAAAAACTAATCAAATTATTCTAAAAGAGGTTCATATGCAAACTATATAAATCTCTTTATTCAAGATGGGGAGCCATAACTATATAAATCACTTATTAAAATGGCTCCTAATCTTGAATATTGTCATGTCATAAGCAAAAAGCTCCAAATTCTCCAAAACCGGGCAGCTAGAATAATTACAAAAACATCAAGAATCGACTCGAGTACACAAGCTCGGCAAAGCCTCAAATTAGGTATCCCAAGTGATTTTTTTCTTATGTCTAGATATCTACAGTAATTTGATTGTATTACTAAAGAGACAAAAAAAAAATCAAATACTTTTTATTTGAAGAAAATCGGCTGAACAGTTTTCATTTTATGAAAAATTTTGTATTTTACTAAAATGATGATCACTTTTCTTATACTTTGACACATCACATAAATGAGACTTTGTACTACAAATTAGGTTAAATGTGTTATGTTTTATGTTTATTTTCACATATCATTCACACACCCATTAAATATCAACCATTTAAATTTTTGAAAAATTACTATCTTAAAAATCACATTATGTACAACTATACAGACAAAATAAGCGTTTTGAGCCATGTTTGTGACCCACGTACTGTACACCAAAAGTAACAAGTTACACAATGTTTGTTCTGTATTTTCTTTAAGCACTAGTTACAGGCTATACACTAAATTTTTTTGAGTTAGCAGAGACTTAAATTTTGAGGTATGGGGAAACGAAAATGAGAAAATGAGCAAAAATGACCATTGTCACCGTACCCAAAATTGAAATTTTTTTTATTTTTTTTTTTTTTATTTTATTTCAAAAATCATCCAACAGCGGAAGCCAATTACAGGATGTCTTATAATACATATAAATATATAGAAAAATACAAACAAGCGAAAGATAAATTGATAAATAACATTACAGTATAAAAAGGAAAAGAGAAAATTACAAATATATTGCGATAAATTACATCAAAATTACAAATTGATTAATTAAATTACAGTATGAATGAAATAGAGAAATTTACAAGAAAATTGCACAAAATTACATCTTAAGCTAAAAATTGCAAGTTCAAAAAAAAAAATAGATAAAAACCTCTCCATGCAACAGTAAAATTGGGCTCTGGACTGGCACTTGTTCATATACAACCCCAACCCACTCCCCTACCCACTGCCTGTGTGATAATAAAATTTGGCTCTAGACGGGCATCTGTTTATATTCACCCCTCCCCCCACCGTGCGACAGTAGAATTGGGCTCTGTACTGGCACCTGTTTATATACTATATACAACTCCCATCCCTTCCTACCCTCCCTCCCTCCCCCGTTCCGGTGCGTTTATATGCAATCAGTATGAAGAAAGCAGTTCGACCTGTTACAAAATTGAAAAAGAGCAATTTTCATAATATAATCTCATTTCCAACAGTAAACACACGCGGCTGTTGGCATACTTACTTAAATGGATGAACTTCTACGCTCATGCTAGGATCAATTTTTTTTTTTCACCAAATTGAAAATGCAAATTTAAAAACCAATTGAAAAAATTTCACAATAACGGTTCCATAAATGAATTTCTTGCTTATTTATGTCTTAATCATTTGTAACCGGTTGTAAAGGCGGTAATAATAATATTTATGATTGAACAAATGAAAGAAAAACGATCGTTTACGATATATGGGACCAGCGGCCACCGGACCTGCTCTAAAGTAGGCCCACTTTTCTAAACACAACACATTTTCGTTGTCACGATGACCTTTCCTAATTTCTGTTTAAATGTAAATTTTTGGTTAAACAGTTAACTTAATGGTAGCCTTATGCGTGCAAGTTTTTTTTTTTCTTCGCTTTCAAATTTGTTAATTACATTTTGTTTGTTGTCTTTTTGTTGTTTGTTTGGTTCTCCTTCGCGGATTTGTAGAAGAACAACTTTTGTTGAAACAAGTTTTCCAGTTTTAAAATAAAGCTAATCATTAATATAGATTACGATCTTTTTATTTGGAGAAATGATAAAATAGAATGCATCCCTGTCCCTTGCTCACACTGTTCAAGCACGAAATACAACAATTACGATTTTTTTTAACACATAGGCTATTCATCATAGTCACATACAGCCCCTACCTACCTACTTTGTTTATTGCTAGATCCGCACATGTACAATATTACACATTATAATTTATATTAACTAACAATATAAAGTACAGCCCTGGCACAGGTCTAGTTCAAAATTTTGATGTATTGTAAACAGTTGATTAATTTTTTCGATGCTGATCTTGTAATACAAAAAAAATGTTTGCATTAATATTTTTAAAAATGTATCTCTTTAATTAATTAAATTTAAACTTTCTCATCTGTTTTTGTAAGTATTGTGGCTGTGACTTTTATTAATTTGAATAAAGATAGCTTTGGTTTCTCAACAGCCATAAAATGATAGAATACATAATAGACTGGCTCAACTTGTATTTTTAGTAGGTCGTGGGCTATTTCTGGGAGCAGGCATCTATATGTATTGAAATAAGGGATCAGTGGAGGAGGGAGTAACCTCTTTTCAAATAATATAAATGAAATGAAATATAAAATTAATACAAATAATTTGTAACACAAGCCTTTTTTCGGTTGAGAGTTGCAGAATTGCCAATAGCTCCTACAAATTCAACTTCGCCATAAGCGGTAGTCTGCGTAGTTTTTGTGTCCGACCAATTCCACTTCGTAGTTCTGATCTCATCTCGGATGTAACTTTCATCGTGGGATGATTTTCTATTTCCACAATAACACAATGGATCCTTTGGGCTAGATAAAATTTTGGTAAAAATATATTTTGTAAGTATTTTATTTAAGATCTTCAAAAAATTTCATCTGGTTTCAGTATATTTACAAGTTATTGATTTCTTTTTTTGTAAAAACCATTGGAATAAAAACGGAGTACTCGGACGTGCATACGCTGGGGCGGGGAGGTGGGGGTACCGAAAAATAGTACTGTTTAAGCCAGGCAATCACTCAATCACTACGCCAGACGGTCGATGAGATTCTATGCAGAACACAATGCTGATCCGTTCAGACTGCCAACCTTCAGTCAACAGGAGGCGTCACGTTGTCTAGCACTTACCAAGAGCATAGCTAGATTTGTCGTGTCATTATTCAACCTAATACATGAATCTTTTGATTGGTTAAAAAGATGCAGGACTGACTTTTTCCGGAAGGTTAAATCCATGAAATTATGTCACTTCCCATTTAAACCAACTTCTTGCTGAACTTGTCTTAGTGGTGTACAGTATAAATTTTGTTTACTGTAAACAGTTGTAAAGTAATTTAATTGCTGAAACTAGCTACAGTATATCGTGAATACACTGGAATGATCGATTGATTGATTAAAACTTGCACAAAATCTGTGCGGCCCTTATTTCCGAAATTCGCTGACTGATTTCCTAGGACAATAGTCCTAATAGGCCTAGGTTTTACATGGAGGATAGGCCAGGCTAGGCTGGCCAGGCTAGCTACATTAAATAGGTACAGTCAAATAAAACATAATGCTTACTCGTCATTTGTGCGAGGCGGTTGTGCTACATAGCGAATACATTCTCTTTGGAATATGTTCTCTGGAATCCATTGTGAATTTTTCTGAGAGAATAAGAAAAGATGATTCAGAGTTAAAGAAAAAACTATTTGATCATCCATTGAACTCACTTAATAAGAAATAGATGTTCTGTAGATTAAATTATATTTGTCTTAAATAGAATCTTTCACAAGTGTGACTTCAACGGGGGTTCACGAGCAAGAAGCAGGAACGTATCTGTCAGCCACCCACTCAGATGATGCTATTTTCATAAATTGTTGATTTTCATATTAGCTTTGCTTATCCCCACTGAAATACTGTAATTTCTAAAAGCCAGGAAGAATAAAAATGATATGTTGTACAACTGATTTTCCTTGGATTCAAAAAGAGTGTTTTATGAAAAAGGGAACATGGTTAATGGGATACAGATTTTTGAATATCTAAAAACTGGTGAAAAAAGATGAAAAAAAAGGTGGTACACTCTCCCAAATTTTAAATATTCAACAATCTCATTAACCGTTTCCAAGATTTTTGTCAAACACCCATTTAGTGTCTAGGAAAAATGAGTTGTACAATATCCATGTAGTTACTCCATTTTTGGAGTGTCTGCACCCGCTGCCAAAACTCTGATTTTGGACGTTTTGCATACTAATACTATACGCGAAAACTCAAAAATCAGAGTTTTCAAACTTTTAATCAAACCTCTAATACAAGCTCTCTACTATAAGAGAGAGCAAAACTTTTAATCTACCCTCCGATTTTGGATGTTTTGCGTACTATACTCGAAAACCAAAACGCTGTATAGCGTTTTTGGAGAGTACGCAGAAACTCCGAAATCGGAGGTTTGATTGAAAGTTTAAAAACTCTGATTTTAGAATTTTCGCATATAGTAAGTAGAAACTCCAAAATCGGAGGTTCGGATTGAAAGTTTAAAAACTCTGATTTTGAAGTTTCCGTGTATAGTACGCTGAAACTCTGAAATCGGAGGTTTGATCGAAAGTTTGAAAACTCCGATTTTGGAGTTTGCACGTATAGTATGCAGAAACTCAGAAATCGGAGGTTTGATTAAAAGTTTCTCGGAAAATATGCAAAACCTCCAAAATCAGATGTTTGATTATAAGTTTGAAAACTCTGATTTTGGAGTTTTCGCGTACAGCACACAAAACCTCCGAAATCGGAGTTTTGGCAGCGGGCGCAGACACTCCAATTTCGTAGTAACTACATACCTCCAATACCAAGATTTTTTTTTTCCTCCGGAGCCTGCATTTAAGTGCCATTCTATACACTACAGTATTGCATTAACCTAGCAGATTCATCAAAAATATCAATTTTTAAAAACCAATACCAAGGTTTTAAGAACATCTGTAGCGGAATACATAGACCTATAATACAGTAGTGGCATCCTTTTTAAAATGAGATGAGGTTTTGCAGAATGGAAACAGTGGACATGTTTTATAAATATGTTTAAATGTGAAACGAACGTTAAAAAATAACTTAAAGTATCAACCTCTGGCTGGGATGATGTAATAATTATTTTTTTTGGCTTTAAAACAGGATTAAATACAACTGCGGCACCGTGGAATAGGCCTATGCAGACTAGGAATATAGGAAAAAATGGTCCCAGTAAAAATGACCCAGGAAAAAATGGCCCTGGTAAAAATGGCCCCAAATGACAAGTAGGTAAAAATGGCCCAATGAAAAAATTCAGTAATAGAAATGATATTTTTTTTTAAATCTTCAAATATTTAAATACTGTTAGCAAGAATTGAATCAATAAATAAAAAATGGCCCCCAATTATAAAATTCATTAAACAAATAAATTTTAAATGCTGTAAGATACCCTGTAAATTTATAAAATAATTTTTATTTTTTCCTTTGAAAATAAGATCAATTTATGTGATTTATTTTTTTTATTAATTTCTATAAAAGTATTTGTTAAGAAATACAGTTACACAACAGATGCAAATAATGCACTGAGAGACTATATGAAAACAATGGCCATTGAATAACATTTTCTGATTAGTAGAAATAAAAGTTTTCAAAACTATTCCACTAACAAAGTAGAGGAATGTAACTCATAGATAACCACAAAAATCAATTTTTGTTAAGTATCAAATGAAATAACTTTACATGTTATAAACAATGCAAATAAACTGTAGTTAAAGCATGTGGATCAATTGTGTGTTTGAATCACATGTTCATGTCTGGAAAAAGGGAGAGGCTTACTTTCTCACAAACTTAGCAAAATGTTCTGCTTAGAGTTACTTCAAAGAAGTATTTGTTAATCAAATATTGTTTTTAGTACACAACTGTTTCAGCCAATGCTTTAGATGGAAACAGAGCCATATATATAAAGAGTTGCGACATTCCACTCCTCAGTTTGCGAAAGTCACGTGGTATATACCGTCCAGTTTCGTGTCCAAATCTTCCCAATGAACACATGCAAAGTATACGAGTTAGGTACTGTACATTACACAGTATTTTCACATGTTTAATCAAGGCAATTCAACAGGACACACATCTCGGGACATCAAAGGTTATAACTCTGGCATCAACATTCTAGGCGCACGTGCGTCCCTACACGCTCAACGTCACAAAAACCATAGCAACCAGGCCATAAACCGTCAGCGTACGTGACGATTTACTCACGCGCCTGTTAATTGCCATGATAAACGCGCGTCATGCGGTGATTACAAAGGCCTAATGATATTTTGCACTAACATTAGACTGAAATTACATTCTTCATTTCAACATTAATTTTACCAAAATTGTGGTGAATTGTCGTTTATGAGACTCTCTTCGCAGAAAAAATTAATAAATGTTCTGTATATACTCAAATGTTCGTTTTCGGCACCTTATGCCAACACTGTCAAAATAACAGCTTAATGTTACATAAGAACATAAAATTTTATAAAATTCGTAAATTTTAAATTGCTATAACTTTTCATTTTCTTGGTCAATTTTCACAAATCAAATTGCAATTTATAGAACATTTAACAAGCTCGTGGTAAAAAAAATCATATGTAACAGGCATTGCGAAGTACCCAAAATTAATAAAATAAAAACTAACACCATGAAACGAATGGCACGCATAGACTAATAATTGACGGCTGTACTCGCAACTAGTATCGGATTGTCGATGCCACAGTAAAGATCAAAGGACTGTACGCACGCGCTATGTTCGAGAGCGGAGATGTGCGTCCTTCTGTTGAATTACCTTGGTTTAATTGTGTTTATGATGTTATTACTTAATTGATAACTATTTATAATCAAAAGCGTGATTTAGAATTTATCTTTAAAATTCGAATATTTGCGCGTGTTCACGCACGCTTGATAATTAATGCGAATTACATAGAAATTATAAATAGAATGTTTGGTTTGTCTATTCTATGACTGAAAAGACCTGCCTTTGTCAAAAAAGCTATGTTTTGCTCTTTACTTTTGGCCTACACTATATCAGTTCAGGGCCTATATATTGCCAACTGACCTATCCTATTTTAATATTTATAAATAATAATAATCAAATTAATATTATAAGATTTGCGGGCTCACTCATATCCAATTTTAAAGAACAACAATCCGGACACTCTATTTACGGATTTTGAAATCGGTAAACCTGGCCAAGGCTAAAAGTAATGATATTGGCTGATAATTATTGGACTGCCAGCACTAATTTTGATATAAAGTAGGCAGGAAAAAAATGATACGGAATTGACAAGACCAATGAATTAATAAGACAAAGGATTGCCTTTACTTTTTAAACAATTTTCTGACGGTGATAATGTAGGCCTACTCTCAATTACAAATGAAAATAATGAGGCCCACTTGACATAATAATTTTAATATTTAGGCCTATTACTATAAACAATAATAGTAGTGATTTTTGTCAAAGAAACCTTTAGTATGATATAATTTTTTTTATTTGATTATAATCTCGAAAATCACTTGTTTCTCTTTGCAAAAAATTCAAGGAAAAATACTAAGATATTTTGTTGTTTTTTTATTATCGTTTTTCCCACACAAATTAAATACATGAACAACATAGATGCAACCTAAAATAATACAAAAGAGCAATTAATATTGATTACATTTTTAATAAGACATATTTAATTAATTTTTTGCTGGTTGTCATATATCATTTATTTCGCCAAAATAACAGGAGCCACTTAAAGGGTCTATATGGCAGGATTGCTAATTGAAGAATGCTTGCTATCGAGGGCCCTCCGACTATCGACAAGGATTAAAGAACTGCTTAAAAATAGTAAATTATTATAATATAATATGAAATTGGATATAGAGTAGTGAAATCATTAAAAAAAAATCTATAAAAATAGATACATGAAATTCAACTGCGTATCGCGTTGGACTTCTCTGTAGAGTCACTGTATTAAACTGGTAAATAGTTTATTTGAATTTTTGCATGTAACTTTAAATTGGCTAATAATTAATACAGGTGTCATTTTATTTTAGAAAAAAAAAAATATCTATCTGATCTATTTTTGAGTAGAATTATATATTTTTTTTTTTTTTTTTTTTTTAGCATTTCTTTTATTGATTGTTTCACCACACACAGCAAGTACATTATTACTTTTTATTTCTATAGTTACAGATTATTTTTTTGCTATGGATATTTTGTTTTTGCAGTTACCACAATGACGAGTAGCTTGTTCAACCAACATCAAACATGATTACTCTACTGCACCTCTAGCCTTTGGTCTTTTGTTTATTAATGTAAATATTCAAGCTATCTGCCTTTAGCCTAAACCTTTCTATAAATTGTATTAAAAAAAAAAAAAAAAAAAATACTTATATTTATTTAACACATAAAACACCATTCTCTGTGCATGTAACCTTAAATTGGCTAATAATCCATAAAATCAGTTCTTACTTAAACTAAATTATTGTATGTGTTTCATTGGAAGTGATACTTATTTGATCTATTTTTTAATACAGAATTACATTTGATTTTAAGCTTTTTTATTCTTTGTTTCACTGAGTACATCAGAATAATTTATGCTATCGATTTTTTTAAATTTTTGCAGTTGTTCCCATGTACAGTGCAATACAATGATGAGTACCTTGTCTACCAACACCAAACATAATTGCTCAACTCCAGTCTCTAGCAGTTGGTCTTTTGTTTATTAATGTAAATATTAAAGCTATTTGTTGTCTTCAGCCTAAAACCTATTTGCAAAATATTGCAATTTGTTAATGTTTA